TTTCAACTGTAACACCAGTGTTACACTTAAGTGATAATTCCCGAGAAGCCAGTGTTTGGAGGATATATTGGCACGGGTGTTGATGGCAAACCGTGCCAATATATCCTCCAAACACAGGCTTCAAGGGTATTATCACTTTTATACAACAGGTTACCAACATATTCAAATAGTGATTTACATATTTTAATTAAAAACTTTATTTTTATTAATTTATTCATACTGAACAAAACTATAAACACAACATGTAAAGTGTTGGTCCCATGTTTCACGAGCTGAAATGAAAGATTCCAGAAATGTTCCATATGGACAAAAAGGGTATTTCTCTCAAATGTTGTGCACATATTTGTTTACATCCCTGTTAATGAGCATTTCTCCTTTGCCAAGATAATCCATCCCCCTGACATGTGTGGCATATCAAGAAGATGATTAAACAACATGATCATTACACAGGTGGACCTTGTGCTGGGGACAATAGAAGGCCACTCTAAAATGTGCAGTTTTGTCACACAACCCAATGCCACAGATGTCTTAAGTTTTGAGGGAGCTCGCAATTGGCATGCTGACTGCAGGAATGTCCACCAGAGCTGTTGCCAGAGAATTAAAGGTTCATTTCTCTACCATAAGCTACCTCCAATGTCGTTTTAGAGAATTTGGCGGTACGTCCAACTGGCCTCACAACGTGTAACCACACCAGCCCAGGACCTCTACATCCGGCTTCTTCATCTGCGGGATCGTCTGAGACCAGTAACCCGGATAGCTGATGAAACTGAGGAGTATTTCTATCAGTAAAAAAGCCCTTTTGTGGGCCCACCCATGACTGCGCCCTGCCCAGTCATGTGAAATTCATAGATTAGGGCCTAATGAATTTATTTCACTTGACTGATTTCCTTATATGAACTGTAACTCAGTAAAATCGTTGAAAGTGTTGCATGTTGCATTTTAACATCATAGACTTAGCCGGTGGTAACTTGTGGAATAGACACTGGCTGGAATGCGGTTTTAACCAATCAGCATTCAGGATTAGACCCACCCTTTGCATTATAGTTTATACACCCTGGTGTTATATTAGGGCATTTTTCCTATTTTGTTGCCTTACAACCTGGAATTAAAATTGATTTTTTGGGGGTTTGTATCATTTGATTTACACAACATGCCTACCACTTTGAAAATGCAAAATATTTTTTATTGTGAAACAAACATGAGCGTGCATAACTATTCACCCCCCCAAAGTCAATACTTTGTAGAGCCACCTTTTGCAGCAATTACAGCTGCAAGTCTCTTGGGGTATGTTTCTATAAGCTTGGCACATCTAGCCACTGGGATTTTTGCCCATTCTTCAAGGCAAAACTGCTCCAGCTCCTTCAAGTTGGATGGGTTCCGCTGGTGTACAGCAATCTTTACCAAAGATTCTCAATTGGATTGAGGTCTGGGCTTTGACTAGGCCATTCCAAGACATTTAAATGTTTCCCCTTAAACCACTCTAGTGTTTCTTTAGCAGTATGCTTAGGGTCATTGTCCTGCTGGAAGGTGAACCTCCGTCCCAGTCTCAAATCTCTGGAAGATTGAAACAGGTTTCCCTCAAGAATTTCCCTGTATTTAGCGCCATCCATCATTCTTTCAATTCTGACCAGTTTCCCAGTCCATGCCAATGAAAAACATCACCACAGCATGATGCTGCCACCGACATGCTTCACTGTGGGGATGGTTTTCTCTGGGTGATGAGAGGTGTTGGGTTTGCGCCAGACATAGCGTTTTCCTTGAGTACCTTCTTCCATATGTTTGGGGCGTCTCCCACATGCCTTTTGGCGAACACCAAACGTGTTTGCTTATTTTTTTCTTTAAGCAATGGCTTTCTTCTGGCCACTCTTCCGTAAAGCCCAACTCTGTGGAGTGTACAGATTAAAGTGGTCCTATGGACAGATACTCCAATCTCTGCTGTGGAGCTTTGCAGCTCCTTCAGGTTTATCTTTGGTCTCTTTGTTGCCTCTCTGATTAATGCCCTCCTTGCCTGGTTTGTGAGTTTTGGTGGGCGGCCCTCTCATGGCAGGTTTGTTGTGGTGCCATATTCTTTCAATTTTTTAATAATGGATTTAATGGTGCTCCGTGGGATGTTCAAAGTTTCAGATATTTTTTTATAACCCAACCCTGATCTGTACTTCTCCACAACTTTGTCCCTGACCTGTTTGGAGAGCTCCTTGGTCTTCATGGTGCCGCTTGCTTGGTGGTGCCCCTTGCTTAGTGGTGTTGCAGACTCTGGGGCCTTTCAGAACAGGTGTATATATACTGAGATATTGTGCCAGATCATGTGACACTTAGATTGCACACAGGTGGACTTTATTTAACTAATGATGTGACTTCTGAAGGTAATTGGTTGCACCAGATCTTATTTAGGACTATTTTGTGTATGTCCATTACATGAAATCCAAATAAAAATCCATTTAAATTACAGGTTGTAATGCAACAAAATAGGAAAGACGCCAAGGGGGATGAATACTTTTGCAAGGCACTGTAAATGAAGCCCGAAAACTCCCATCAACCTTGCCTTGGCCCCAAGTCAGAGCAGATCCAATGAGGCCATGGTCCAGTGAGTCCCAGGAGCCTTGTCCTCGATATTCTCGCACTGCAGCCCTGGGAAAACATTGACCCCCTGTTTTATGGTATGTAGTAGTCAGAGACCGTAAAGGTAGTAGTACGAGAATTGAAGAGAATGAGTAAGTGAAACTGAATTAGAGCCATCTCTCTCTATCGCTCTCTCTCTCTCCCTCTCTCTCAGTGTTTGTTGTGTTTTCTTTCACCTGTCTGGTGGGCCCAACGCTCTGGAATAGGATGGTTACATCTCTGGATACACCTGAAGAAGTTTAGTTTGACTAGTCTAGTCCTTTTCTAGTCCTTTCTAATTAACTAGTGCTTTGGATTAGACTATAAAACAAGGCATTGACTCTCAGTGATCTGTCTGTGTTATTGCGTAATTGCTGATTGATTGACATGTTATTGGGGAAACCCTTTGGCGAGAATACATATACTGATAAGCAATACAGTGCTTTCGGAAAGTACTCAGACCCCTTGACTTTTTCCACTTTTTTTTGTTACGTAACAGCCTTATTCTAAAATTGATGAAATTGTTTTTTCCCCGTCATAAATCTACACAGAATACCCAATAATGACAAAGCAAAAACAGGTTTTTAGAAAAGTTTGCAAATTTATAAAACATGAATTACTGAAAAATTACATTTACATACACTACCGGTCAAAAGTTTTAGAACAACTACTCATTCAAGGATTTTTCTTAATTTTTTATATTTTCTACATTGTAGAATAATAGTGAAGACATCAAAACTAGGAAATAACACATATGGAATAATGTAGTAACCAAAACAGTGTTAAACAGATAACACAATATATTTTATATTTGAGATTCCTCAAATAGCCACCCTTTGCCTTGATGACAGCTTTGCACACTCTTGGCACTCTTGGTGTTCTAAAATTTTTGACCGGTTGTGTAGGTATTGAGACCCTTTACTCAGTACTTTGTTGATGCACCTTTGGCAGCGATTACAGCCTTGAGTCTTCTTGGGTATGATGCTACAAGCTTGGCACACATGTATTTGGGGAGTTTCTCCCATTCTTCTCTGCAGATCCTCTCAAGCTCTGTCAGGTTGGATGGGAGCGTCGCTGCACAACTATTTTCAGGTCTCTCCAGAGATGTTTGATCAGGTTCGAGTCCGGGCTCTGGCTAGGCCACTCAAGGACATTCAGAGACTTGTCCGGAAGCCAGTCCTGCGTTGTCTTGGCTGTGTGCTTAGGGTCGTTGACCTGTTGGAAGGTGAACCTTTGCCCCAGTCTGAGGTCCTGAGCGCTCTGGAGCAAGTTTTCATCAAGGATCTCTCTGTACTTTGCTCCTTTCATCTTTCCCTCAATCCTGACTAGTCTCCCAGTCCCTGCCGCTGAAAAACATCCCCACAGCATGATGCTGCCACCACCATGCTTCACCGTAGGGATGGTGCCAGGTTTCCTCCAGACGTGACGCTTGGTATTCAGGCCAAAGAGTTCAATTTTGGTTTGATCAGACCAGAGATTCTTGTTTCTCATGGTCTTAGAGTCTTTAGGTGCCTTTTGGCAAACTCCAAGCAGGCTGTCATGTGCCTTTCACTGTAGAGTGGCTTCAGTCTGGCCTGATTGTTGGAGTGATGCAGAGATGGTTGTCCTTCTGGAAGGTTCTCCCATCTCCACAGAGGAACTCTGGAGCTCTGTCAGAGTGACCATCGGGTTGGCCACTGTGTTCTTGGGGACCTTCAATGCTGCAGACATTTTTTGGTACCCTTCCCTAGATCAGTGCCTCGACACAATCTTGTCTCGGAGCTCTACGGACAATTCCTTCGACCTCATGGCTTGGTTTTTGCTCTGACATGCACTGTCAACTGTGGGATCTTAAATAGCCTGGTGCACCTTTTCAAATAATGTCCAATCAATTGAATTTACCACAGGTGGACTCCAATCAAGTTGTAGAAACTTCTAAAGGATGATCAATGGAAACAGGATGCACCTGAGCTCAATTTCGAGTCTCATAGCAAAGGGTCTGAATACTTATGTAAATAAGGTACATTTCTTTCAAATAAAATAAAATTAGCAAACATTTCTAAAAACCTGTTTTCGCTTGGTCATTATGGGGTATTGTGTGTAGATTCAAATAATTTAATCAATTTTAGAATAAGGCTGAAACGTAACAAAATGTGGAAAAGGTCAAGGGGTCTGAATACTTTCCGAATGCACTGTATATCAGCTATTAAACAGTATATGATCTGATGATCTATCAGGGGGAGCCCCACCTGAGTGCAGCTTACGCTGTAATGATGAATTACTGGGCGTACTTCACTCCCTCCTCCTCTTCATCATCATTGCATGTTCAGAGGGTAAGTGGTACTTACAGTGTTTCTACAGTATACCGATAGTGGCAATGAGATCGTTGGCAAGATGGTTAAATCTATTTCCTGCCCATACAGGAAGTCCTATCAAAGCATGGCTCTGTTCTGTGCTGGGTCTTCCATTGCCCATCAGATCGTCTTCATCCCAGGAGTGGTGATTGGTGAGTGTGTTTCAAAGAAATTGGCATTACTGTTACGCTCTGTTATATTCTGGCATGACCAAACTGGTAGCAAAATGTTGTGCAACAGAAAAGGTTTCGCAATGGAAACGAGAGTTTCTATTGGACAAATTCAGGTAGGTCCCTCCCTGTTTCATTCCGTTTCCTTGTTTGGTTCCTAGAGAATACAAATACCTGAAACTTAGCTAGTGTTTTGCTTTATTTGGAGAAATAAATGTTTTGTCGTTTCTTTATGTAAATGCATTTTTGTTGACATTATGGAGGCCTATTTCTACCACTGCTAACATCACTACCTTTATTTTGTGAATAAAACCACATATTTACATCTTATCCTTTGCCTCCTGCCTGCCGGACGCACATACATGTACCACAAGGTGGCAATAGTAGACCTACTTATTATTGGTTGTTTCTGTATTCCATTCTGTCTGTCTGACTCCACTTTGCTGATAGTTCTATAGTTGCCGCTTTGATAGAAAAAATTCATCAGTTTGACAACTATTTAAACCATGAATGTAATTAATTTATTCGCATTGCGTAAATCTCTGGGTGCGTTCCTATGCTTAGACGTTGCTGACGCCTGACAGATCTTACAACTCCTAGATAGGTATTTTAAGTATCATCTAAACACATCATGTTATAGCAATTTGTCAGTAGATGACACAGTCGATGACGTGGCACTCAACTATTGTTTGTTGCGTTACCTCGCCTTAGCTGTGGAACGCTCCCTATATATAGCCTAGGCTACTCTGAGAATAATCCAATCATGAAGTTTGTGAAGTTTTTTTATTTTATATTTGTACTTTTTTAAATTAACAAACAACAAACATCAACAAGTGAAAGAGGAATATTCACATACAAAAAATATATATACAAACTTTTTACATTGCCAGGGATCCTACACAAACAAATCATATTGATTAATAGTACTACAGGTTTTAACTGCCATTTTGTTTTTACTTTTAGTTAAACTAGTGCCAAAAGTGTAGCGGGTGATTTGGACGGAGTCAGGCGCAGGAGGGTAAATCACAGAATAAATGATTTATTCTGCAATACAGCGGCACGCAGCAATGAGTAAAACACCACAATGCGGTAATAACGGCGCACTGGAGAAAACAAAGCACACGGGTGAAAATCCCGGCGATACAAATATAGTAACCTCCACAATAAACAATCACACACAAAGACATGGGGGGCAGAGGGAATACTTATACAGGTACTGATGAGGGGATATGAAGCAGGTGTGTGTAAAAACAAGACAAAACAAATGGAATGATGAGATGAGGAGCGACAGTGGCTAGAAGGCCGGTGACGACGAACGCCGAAGCCTGCCCGAACAAGGAGAGGAGGCAGCTTCGGAGGAAGTTGTGATAAAAAGTTAGGTTTTGAATCAGACCATTTTATTTTGTGAATATAAAATTGACCTATAATTATAAGCTTTTGGGTTAAATATACTACTGGAGGAAAACCAAACTTCCGGAGGACCTATCATACTTTCACTCCCTCCTCTCTACCTTCTCGTCCTCTTTATCCGCTGCTAAAGCAACTTTCTATCACTCTAAATTTCAAGCTTCTGCCTCTAACCCTTGGAAACTATTTTCCACCTTCTCCTCCCTCCTTAATCCTTCACCCTCTCCCTCTCCCTCCTCCCTCTCTGCGGACGACTTTGTCAATCAATTTGAAAAGAAGGTTGACAACATCCGCTCCTCATTCACTCAGCCTATTGAGTCCACTGGTCCCACTCACACAGAACTACCCTACGCCTTGACCTCTTTCTCCCCTCTCTCTCCAGATAAAATCCTGCGACTAGTGAGATCCGCCCAACAACCTGCCCATACGACTCCATCAATAGAAATGGCGCTGGAGGGAATAGCGGCCGTTTTACAGGCTCCTGACCAATTGTGCTATTTTGTGTTTTTTTTGCACAGATCTAAACTTTTTTGTACATAATGTTTCTGATATCTTTTCCTATGACTGAAAAGAGCTTCTGGACATCAGAACAGCGATCACTAACCTCAATTTGAATGAGGATTTCCACTTTGATGAGACAAATGACATACTGCTCATCCCGGACCAGGCCCAAATCCCCGACACTCGAAGAAGGAAGAGGCGGTTTTATAGAGGCCGGTGTGCGGGATACCTGACGAGACTACGATGGCGAGTGGATAAACCGCCTCTACCCTCCGTTCTATTGGCAAACGTGCAATCACTGGAGGATAAACTGGACGAGCTCCGTTCGAGACTATCCTATCAATGTGATCTGAAGAACTGTGATATCCTATGTTTCTCAGAGCTGGTTTTTCTATACATCGGCAGGACAGAACGGCAGCGTAGGGCAAACTCAGGGGGGTTGTGTTTCTTTGTTAGAACAGCTGGTGTGCAATCTCTAATATTGACAAAGTCTCGAGGTTCTGCTCGCCTGAGTTAGAACACCTCATGATAAGTTGTAAATCATACTATTTGTAGAGAGAGTTTTCATCTATATTTTTCGCAGCTGTCTACTTACCACCACAAACCGATACTGGCACTAACACCTCACTCAATGAGCTGTAAAGGACCATAAGAAAACAAGAAAATGCTCATCCAGAACCTAGTAGCCAATGATTTTAATGCAGGAAAACTGAATTTGTCGTACTTATTTTTTTTTCAAAAAATGTTTACCCCTTTTTCTCCCCAATTGGTAGTTACAGTTTTGTCCCATCGCTGCAACTCCCGTACGGACTCGGGAGAGGCAAAGGTTGAGAGCCATGCATCCTCCGAAACACAACCCTGCCAAGCCGCACTGCTTCTTGACACACTGCTCGCTTAACCCGGAAGCCAGCCGCACCAATGTGTTGGAAGAAACACCATACAGCTGGCGTCCGAAGTCAGCGTAGATGCGCCCGGCCCGCCACAAGGAGTCGCTAGAGCGTGATGGAACAAGGACATCCCAGCCGGCCAAACCCTCCCCTAACCAGGACGACGCTGGGCCCTCATGGGTCTCCCGGTCACGGCCGGCTTCAACACAGCCTGGGATCGAACCAGCATGTCACCTGTGCAACTAGAGGTGAAAAAACTCAAGATCACCTTCACCTTCACGCATACAAAGCTCTCCCTCGCCCTCCATTTGGCAAATCTGACCATAACTAGATCCTCCTGAATCTTGCTTACAAGCAAAAACTCAAACAGGAAGTACCAGTGACGCGCTCAATGCGGAAGTGGTCCAATGAAGTGGATGCTAAGCTACATGACTGTTTCGCCAGCACAAACTGGAATATGTTCCAGGATTCATCCGATGGCATTGAGGAGTTTACCACATCAGTCACTGGCTTCATTAATAAGTGCATCGACGACGTCTTCCCTACAGTGACTGTACGCACATATTCCAACCAGAAGCTATGGATTACAGGCAACATCCGCACTGAGCTAAAGGCTAGAGCTGCCGCTTTCAAGGAGCGGGATACTAATCCGGACACTTATAAGAAATTCCGCTATGCCCTCTGACGAACCATCAAACAGGCAAAGACTCAATACAGGACTAAGATAAAAAACCTACTACACCGGCTCCAATGCTTGTCAGATGTGGCAGGAGTTGCAAACTATGACGGATTACAAAGGGAAACCCAGCTGAGAGCTGCCCAGTGATGCATGCCTACCAGACGAGCTAAATGCCTTCTATGCTCGCTTCGAGGCAAGCAACACTGAACCATGCGTTAGAGCACCAGCTTTTCCGGATGACTGTATGATCACACTCTCCATAGCCGATGTGAGTAAGACCTTTAAACAGGTTAACATTCACAAGATTTGCAACTTGTCTGTTTACACTAGCCTTGGATGTGGTGTGGCCAAAGCCACATCCCTGCTTCATGTGTGAGTGCAGCTATTAGTATGCCGTAAATACCATAGTACATAGACAAACAAAAAAAGGAAAGCAATTCAAACTATACAGGAGCATCTAAACCATATTGCACATAGTATTTTCACAGTGAACACCACTCTCTGCACCTGGTAGCTGGACTTACTGACAGGCCGCCCTCAGGCGGTGAGGGTAGGCATCAACACATCCGCCACGCTGACCCTCAACACGCAGGTCCAAACATAGTCGTGAAGAGGGCACGACAACGCCTCTTCCCCCTCAGGAGGCTGAAAAGATTTGGCATGGGAAAATCCTCAAAAATGTCCTAAGCTGTACCATTGAGAGCATCTTGACTGGCTGCATCACCGCTTGGTATGGCAACTGCTTGGCATCAGACTGTAAGGCGCTACAGAGGGTAGTGTGTACGGCCCAGTACATCACCTGTTTACCAGGCGGTGTCAGAGGAATGCCCTAAAAATTGTCAAAGACTCCAGCCACCCTAGGCACAGACTACCGCACGGCAAGCGGTACCGTAGCGCCAAGTCTGGGACGAAAAGGCTCCTGAACAGCTTCTACCCCCAAGCCATAAGACTGCTGAACAGTTAATCAAATGGCTACCCGGACTATTTGCATTGACCCCATTTTTTTTGTTGCACGGACTCTATGCACACTCACTGGGCTCTACCCACACACTCACACATACCACAATGACACTCCAACAAACACACACACACACACACACACACACACACACACACACACACACACACACACACACACACACACACAGTACATTGATGCCACACACACACTACATGGACACACACACAAACACACACACACTGCATCACCACATTGACGCCACACACACTCTCACATATAGAAACTCTTTCACACTCTTCACATACGCTGCTGCTACTCTATTATCTATCCTGATTGCCTAGTCTCTTCTACCCCTACCTACATGTACATATTACCTCAACTACCTGTTTGGCTAACAGAGCAAAAAAGTAATGTATATTTGGCTAACAGAGCAAAAATGCTGTCTACTGGTATTAAAGGTAATTATTCCAGGGACATGTAGTCTGGGAGAGCCGTTGTCTTTACACTTTTACCACTCAAAGGGGGGTATGTGGTGTAGATGTCTCCCACACTACCTCCGGAGAGATTTGAATCTAGATCCGTCTCTTTACACTGCACAAGTATCTCTCATGGATCTAGTTTGTGTCATCATCAAAGTAGTGTAGTGTAGTTTGCCTAATCTTTACTACTTTGCATAATGACACCCTTTTACCGTGACACACATCCCGTAAATGCCCTAATCATTCAAATGTATTTTCTGTTCAAGTAGGTTACACATTCTAACAGAGTAGCTTCTTTAAGGTCCACTATACTCTTAAGTGGTCATTAATCTGTCTAGTTCTGGAAGCAAATCTTTAAATTAATGCTTTTAAGTGCTATCCTCTGGGGATCTAATGTAAATGTTGTCAATTTCCATTCCATTCAACTCAATTTCTTTCATGTCCTCTGAAAGATGAAACACTATGGTCTTCACATGTTAACTGTGTGTCTCTCTCTTCCACAGTGCTAGGAGCCAAAGTACTGTCGTCTGTCATCACAGTGTGACAAAAGGAAAATGTTGACGCCTTGTTTTATTGTATGCAGTAGTAGTACACACACACTTAAGTTGTCTAAAGAGAGAATGTTAAAAGTAGACTGAGTGAGAACAAAAGGAATCTCTCTCTCTCTCTCTCTCTCTTTCTCTCTCTCTCTCTCTCTCTCTCTCTCTCTCCCTCTCCCTCTCGCTCTGTGTTTGTTGTGTTTTCTTTCACCTGTCTGGTGGGCCTGACCAACGCCCTGGAACAGGATGGCTACATCTCTGGATACATGGGCTTCTACCTTAAAAGGGTTAGTTAGCTAGCAACAGTGGTGTAAAGTACTTAAGTAAAAATACTTTTTTGGGGTATCTGTACTTTACTTTACTATTTATATTTTTGACTACTTTTACTTTTAGGACTCACTAAACACAAATGCTTTGTTTGTAAATTATGTCTGAGTGTTGGAGTGTGCCCCTGGATAACCGTAAATAAAAAAACAAGAACATTGTGCCGTCTGGTTTGCTTAATATAGGGAATTTGAAATTATTTATACTTTTACTTTTAATACTTAAGTATATTTTAGCAATTACATTTACTTTTGATACTTAAGTATATTTAAAACCAAATACTTTTAGACTTTTACTCAAGTAGTATTTTACTGGGTGACTTTCACTTTTACTTGAGTAATTTTCTATTAAGGTATCTTTACTTTTACTCAAGTATGACAATTTTGGGTACTTTTTCCACCACTGGCTAGCAAGTCCTTTTCTTTTACTAGTCCAATCCATTAGGATATTAGACTAATAAGATCCTGACTCTGTGAGTAATCTGTCTGTGTTGTTGCATAACTGTAGATTGATTAGCCTGATCCCAGGTCTGTTTATGCTATCCTGCCAACTCTCGTATGGTCATTGTCACGCTGTTGGGTGTAAACAGAAGGATCTGACCCTTTTTTCAATTTTCGCCTAAAATGACACACCCAAATCTAACTGCCTGTAGCTCAGGACCTGAAACAAGGATATGCATATTCTTGATTCCATTTGAAAGGAAACACTTTGAAGTTTATGGAAATGTGAAATTAAGGTAGGAGAATTTAACACATTAGATCTGGTTAAAGATAATAAAAACAAAAAAACATGCGTTTTCTATTTTTTTTTATTTATCATCTTTGAAATGCAAGAGAAAGGCCACAATATAATATTGCAGTTTAGGTGCAATTTAGATTTTGGCCACTAGATGGAAGCAGTGTGTGCAAAGTTTCAGATTGATCCACTGAAGCGTTGCAATACTGGACTATTTTGTATGAAGTACATAACTATAGAGAACATACAAAAATGATATGGTAATACAAAATGTAAGTTTACACACTCCCAAGAATGTCATACATGATGGATCATTAGCTTATACACTAACTTTCACACATCTAGATGGCTAGGCGGGGTGGGTGTGGAGCCAGAGACAGCAGGGGTTCAAACTGTAGAACCCAGTTCCTACATTTGAATATAAAAATGGATTTTATCAAACAAAACTATGCTAAATTTTATCTCTAGTACCCTTAGGGTGACAAATCAGAGCAAGATTACTGAACGTAAGTACATTATTTACCTTCAGAGGTGAATGTATCAAACCAGTTGCCGTGATACGTTTTTTGTTGTTGTGCACTCTCCTCAAACAATAGCATGGTATGTTTTCACTGTAATAGCTATGTTTTCACTGTAAATTGGGCAGTGCAGTTAGATTAACAATAATTTAAGCTTTCTGCCCATATAAGACATGTCTATGTCCTGGAATGTTTTCGGTTACTTACAACAGTCATGCTAATCACATTAGCGCACATTAGCTCAACCGTCCAAAATACGGGACACCGACCCTGTAGAGGTTAATATGTGGTTGGGGAAACCCTTAAAAATGAACACATACTGTATTTATGAGCAATACAATATAGGTTATTAAATAGTATATGATGTAATGACCCATCAGGGGGAGCCCTACCTGAGTGCAGCCTATGCTGTGATGATGTCTTATTGGGAGGTTGTCCTTCACTTCCTCCTCTTCCTCACCATGATCCATTGCATGTTCAGGGGGTAAGTGCTGATGCCCTTTCTCTATATCATGTGTCTTTCGTAAAGACTGTTCCTACGGTAGAGTGCCATAGTGCACATTTCATTGTGTAAACATTCCTATCACAATAGTGGCAATGCTATTTTCGTCAGTGAGACAGTCAATACAGGGTTATCTATTTCCTGTCCATACAGGAAGTCCTATCGCAGCATGGGGCTGTTGTGGGCGGGGTCATCCATTGCCCAGCAGATCGTCTTCATCCCAGGAGTGGTCATCGATGAGTGGCCTTGTTCTAAAAAGTATTCGAAACACTCCTTTCCTTGGAATATTTCCTAGGAATAATCGCAGAGCCAACATTCTTTGATAGGTGAATGCAGTGGTCCACTGCTTCTATTCCACTACTAACATTCCAGTATTGTAATGGTATGGCTTTTTGTGTTTTTATAGGTAAATATAGTTCAAAAATGTGTCCCGCCTTTGGAGGAATACTCCCTTCTTGTTGTTGCCTGTATGGGGAGCCACCCTGCTTTTAGTAGGCCCAGAGAGCTGCCAATCATTCCTGCAGACAAGGTTGCAACAGAGCAAAAGAGAAGTCTCCTTTATCATCCTGTTGATCTGATCCTGTTTGTGCCACTCAAATAAAGTTCAGGAGATGTTTACTGTACATGGAAGCAATTGAAATCTAAAGTTAGACATTGAACACATTGTAAACGTGTATTAATTCCTCCAATCTCTCTCTCTCTCTCGATCTCTCTCTCTCTCTCTCTCTCTCTCTCTCTCTCTCTCTCTCTCCTCTCTCTCTCTCTCTCTCTCTCTCTCTCTCTCTCTCTCTCTCTCTCTCTCCCCCTTTCTTCCTCCCTCCCTCTCCCTCCCTCCCTCCCTCCCTCCCTCCCTCCCTCTATCACCTAGGTGGTCCTAGACTGTCCTCTGGATACGTGCTTCACCTACATCTACCAGTATGAGGACCCTGTGGCCTTCCCTAAAGTCATGCTGAGTCCTAGAAAAAGAATAAGTAGAACAGACATACGGTTGTTCTAAATCCCACTGTCTGTTGCGGCAGACCATCCTTACTGTCCCATATTGCATGTCAGTGTAATCACCATTGTGTATAGCATACCCATGGATGTAAAATGACATTTGTCCTGTTATGTGATTGCTCTAGATGCTGGTGTATTTGTTCTATGCGTTGCCTCTGCTGGCTGTGTTCATTTACGGGCTGAGGACACCTGGCTGTACCTGGATGCTGGACTGGACAATCTTCTTTGCGGGGGCCATAGCCCAGGTAACAGTCATATTCAGTGCAATGACCTACTACTACTGCACTCTTATGCATCTCTCTTTGTCTAACATGGAGGGATGTATAGAATAGAAGCGATGGTGTATTGGAAAAGCTATATACAACCTCCTCTAAAACACCCCTACTCTTTTCCTCTTCCCCAGACCCAGTGGTGCCATATCGGAGGATCACTCCACTCCCGTACCTCCTTCACATACCGGGTCCCCACGGACAAATGGTTGACTGCTATGATTCTAAACAGGCTGTATGTAGGTGCACCTATCGTCTTAGCCATCCAATGCCACATCAGCCCTACATTCTGCATGCCGACTGTACCCAAGGGAGAGACCAACCTGGAGAAGGACAACTAAGCCCAAGAGACTACAATTCTCATCAAGCATGGACTCTGTGAGCCACTGGACCAGAATGCTACTGACAGACCAAGAACTACTGTACGCACAATCCTAAGGCCATGGAACTCAAATGTTTGGGGCTGCGAACCACCTGAAGCTTCTGGAAATGGGACCCACCAGCTCCACAAAACCCATGTTATATGAGTCTAGAACACCTGAAGCAAATTACACCTGAAGCTCCTTTTGTTGGTTGGAGCCTTTTGGGTAAAGTTCACCCATGTCTACAGCCGTGCAATACAGTTTAAACAGCCAAAACTGAATCCTGCTACATGCCATCTATTCTGCAGCAGCACTCCCTATATGGACTGTTGGAGCCAGATAAATCCTTTGTGGACATGAGCCGAGGTTTACCTATCAGGCTTGTGAGTCAGTGAGAGACGGGTCTGAGGCGGTATAGTTGGGACTAAAAGGCCTATAAACCTGACACTGATACTGGCCTTCATTGCCTCAGTCATGGATTATTAGAGCCGACTGTCACTGAACTGTGAAACTATGGACCGTGTTGAGGACTAGGGGATTTAGAAGCTGAGCGACTGTGTAGTACTGCTGCTGATAAGACAGATAACAGGGCCTGTTTCACAAGATGTGGTTGTGATTTGAGAGACCCCTTTAGGAGACCATGGCATGAGGAGACAAATGGTTAGTCAGTATTTATGAATCAAATGTTAGTTAGGTAGGTTATTTTTTAGAGCGGTTGGGTTAGAATTACTACAATAAATGGTTGTTATATGAATATACACTGCTCAAAAAAATAAAGGGAACACTAAAATAACACATCCTAGATCTGAATGAATGAAATAATATTATTAAATACTTTCTTCTTTACATAGTTGAATGTGCTGACAACAAAATCACACAGAAATTATCAATGGAAATCAAATTTATCAACCCATGGAGGTCTGGATTTGGAGTCACACTCAAAATTAAAGTGGAAAACCACACTACAGGCTGATCCAACTTTGATGTAATGTCCTTAAAACAAGTCAAAATGAGGCTCAGTAGTGTGTGTGGCCTCCACGTGCCTGTATGACCTCCCTACAATGCCTGGGTATGCTCCTGATGAGGTGGCGGATGGTCTCCTGAGGGATCTCCTCCCAGACCTGGACTAAAGCATCCGCCAACTCCTGGACAGTCTGTGGTGCAACGTGGCGTTGGTGGATGGAGCGAGACATGATGTCCCAGATGTGCTCAATTGGATTCAGGTCTGGGGAACGGGCGGTCCACAGCATCAATGCCTTCCTCTTGCAGGAACTGCTGACACACTTCAGCCACATGAGGTCTAGCATTGTCTTGCATTAGGAGGAACCCAGGGCCAACCGCACCAGCATATGGTCTCACAAGGGGTCTGAGGATCTCATCTCGGTACCTAATGGCAGTCAGCCTAACCCCGGCAAGCACATGGAGCTGTGCGGCCCCCCAAAGAAATGCCACCCCACACCATGACTGACCCACCGCCAAACCGGTCATGCTGGAGGATGTTGCAGGCAGCAGAACGTTCTCCATGGCGTCTCCAGACTCTGTCACGTCTGTCACATGTGCTCAGTGTGAACCTGCTTTTATCTGTGAAGAGCACAGGGCACCAGTGGCGAATTTGCCAATCTTGGTGTTCTCTGGCAAATGCCAAACGTCCTGCACGGTGTTGGGCTGTAAGCACTGTCTGTTTCTGACCGTTTGAGCAGACACATGCACATTTGTGGCCTGCTGGAGGTCATTTTGCAGGGCTCTGGCAGTGCTCCTCCTGCTCCTCCTTGCACAAAGGCGGAGGTAGCGGTCCTGCTGCTGGGTTGTTGCCCTCCTACAGCCTCCTCCACATCTCCTGATGTACTGGCCTGTCTCCTGGTAGCGCCTCCATGCTCTGGACACTACGCTGACAGACACAGCAAACCTTCTTGCCACAGCTCGCATTGATGTGCCATCCTGGATGAGCTGCACTACCTGAGCCACTTGTGTGGGTTGTAGACTCCGTCTCATGCTACCACTAGAGTGAAAGCACCGCCAGCATTCAAAAGTGACCAAAACATCAGCCAGGAAGCATAGGAACTGAGAAGTGGTCTGTGGTCACCACCTGCAAAACCAGTCCTTTATTGGGGGTGTCTTGCTAATTGCCTATAATTTCCACCTGTTGTCTATTCCATTTGCACAACAGCATGTGAAATTTATTGTCAATCAGTGTTGCTTCCTAAGTGGACAGTTTGATTTCACAGAAGTGTGATTAACTTGGAGTTACATTGTGTTGTTTAAGTGTTCCCTTTATTTTTTTGAGCAGTGTATAAAAAAATTATGTTTCTTTGAGGATTTGCACTCTGGTCCTGTGTGGGAGTGTCCCCTGATATGACTGTCCATATAATATAATATAATATAACAATATAATATGCCATTTAGCATATCTCTATTCTTGTGAAATACTCTTAACTTTCCCATGCCAATCTGTCTGCCTATTGAGGTAACAGGGAAGAGATTTGTCAGATACTGAAAGTATTGTGGATAGATGCTCAGTCCTTCACTGTAACATTGTTTTTTGTCATAACAATTTTACCATAACTACTGATTCTGGGGCAGATATGTTTTTCAACCACCTAATGGTTTAGCTTTGGACTGGGGGAAATCCTAGGACTGTGCTTAGGGGCAACTTCTGGCTGGAGTGTTTTCTCTAAGCAGAATCTATTACAGTTCCCAACTCTCATTGAGCAGTATGTCACTGACTATACACAGGATCCAATGTCATAATCAACCAGATGATGATGATATTGACATCTGAGCTTTCGTTTCTGATTGATGATGTCATTGGATCCTGTGTCTAGTCAATGTACAGGTGGCCTAGTAAACTTTGCCCTGCCTGGCAGGTCGCCTCTGCTGTCATCAGCTGATAAGAAGTGAACCCCCAGCTAGACAGTATTGTCAAACAAAATCAAACTGTTGACAAGACAGTTTCTCTCAGAGTTCTGTTTTGAACCAAGTTTGATGTCTGGAAAGTAAAAGCACAACATGCTTTCTCTTCCCACAAGTGCTGTCACTTCCCACATGTTGAACTGAACGCCAAACACTGTTGCCTGATTTCAGCAAAGTCAATCAACTTTAAGAGCACAATTCTAACCAGAGTTTATATAAATATGATCTTATTTTCTCTCTCCAAAACCTCTCTGTTCCACAGTTTCTATCCCAGTGAATCAGGCTGTGACAGAGAGGGGGGTCAGATCTCAGAGCCAACTGAGTCAAGGCGACAACCCAAAGTGAGATTAAACTAGGTCTAACTGGTGTTGGTATTGGACCCAGTCCTTTAGATTTTCTTTCCTTTATTGGGTTGATTATTTTAGATCAGGGGTATTCAACCGAGGTACTGCAGGAAATGTTTTATATAAAAAATATATATATATACGTTATTTTATTATTTAAATGTTTTTATGAATATTGTTAGCAACAACAGAATAAACCAATTTGAATGACATGCCTACAGGAGAAAAGAGGAGACTATTTTCTTTCTACTGATGTCAACTTTCTTTCTCAACTCCTAATATTGAGCAAATTACACTCATTGGAGCCAATTACACTCACTGAAGTATCTGACATAAGGCTTTGAAAAAGCACTGCAAATAGGCTACCAGTGCAGCAAGTGCCGCTGGCTGCTGGTAAGCTTTCTTGAAATTGACACATTTCTTCCAACACATGGCTAACCTTTGTTTAACCAGCTAAACAGCTGCTCTGAGTGAAAATGTGTTTGGAGTTACCTTTCTAGCTAATATACTATGTTGGAGTTTACACTTCCTCTTCAAATTATATTGTTAGGAGGTCAAGATAATGAAACTATCTACCAAATCTATTCATTTTAAAATGTTGATTACTTCTCCTTGCCTTTATCATTCACCTGTTAACGTATGATGGGGGTCCTTGGATCACCGGTTTACCTGGGAGGGGGTCACTGGGCAAGAAAAGGTTGAAGACCCCTATTTTAGATATATTCTCATCTATTGGGTCCATTCTTTTAGATGTACTTTCCCTCCACAATCTATTCAATAGAGTCAAAAGAGAGTAGAAAACTGCTTCTGTGATCCCAGGAAACTATTGGCCAGAATGGCCTCTTTCTCTTTCTAGAGATTGAAGTAAATAGAGGACATAGAAATACAAAGGCTTTCAGTTGGGTTCATTCCTTTGCTTTAGGAGGCATGGGTAAGATACAAACCACTCTCAATCTTCATTGTTTGAGGTACTGTATAGAAGTGATGTGGTAGAGAAACAAAGAAATAAAACTAAGAAACTCTGAAATAATAGCATTGGAGCCCAGCTTCATCACAAAACTGACCAGATACATTGTCGTCGTTCATTTGTTTTTGCAGCTTTATTAAGAATGGAACACAACAGCAGGACAGGAAGTCATAACAACACCAAAAAAGGGATGACGACCAATCAAATATCAGAAGGACCACATTCATCATGAGTCATGGCATCCTACCCATCACATATTGGAGCCGTGCAAAGATTGGGACTATTGACCACGAGCAGTTATCTTCGTAAAGTTTTGTCCCAGTCCGCAGTATTTCGATCTATCCTATTTTATTCCATCTAGATCAATGGGTCTGTTTTAGTTGTTAGTTGAGAGTACATGACTGAACAAGGGTCAGGTATCAATTAGATATCAGTCAATCACAAACAATCAAACACCACAGTATTTACAGTACAGAGAGAGGCAATCAAAGGGTTAGCTTCGTTACTTTTGATTGTAAGAATGGTATATAAAAGAAAAAAGTATTACATTGCCTTGTTGGATTATGAAAAAAATCAACATACTGTATATTAACTAGCGAAGAGTCCATAATAAATAGAAACATTACATGAAGAGATAGCGAATATAAAAAAATGCCATGTAAGTTGAATAATAAAACAGACCTGCTATTCAGGAGTCCTAAGGAAACGTAACAAGTACAGTATACATACAAAAGCTCTGGGTTATTTGAGACTGAAAGCGAACTAGCTCACTTGCATTAATTACATTTGTGCTTTATAAACAGAATACTAAAATGAGTATGTTCTGAGATGTAGAACAAGCTTCAAACTTTGCAGAACACACACTCGAATAGCATAGACACTCTCACACATACACACGCACAGATGCACACAAACACACACGTCACTGTCTTTATGTTTAGACAGTGAGAATAGGTTATCCATAGACATGCCAAGGATTTGCTGTTTCTAATATATTAGCGACCGTGTTAGCGAGAGAAAAAGTATTACTGTTGTAACGGACCTGGGGTAAACAAAATCAACAACAAAGGGACAAATCCTAAATTGAGATATGTATACGTAAACAATGAACTTTTTTGCACTGATGTCAATAGATAATTTGCATGAAAGTTTTGCACACATACAGTATCTCAAGTGAAATTTCAACCCAAAGAGACAGACTGAAATAGGTCAGGAAAAAATTAATATAAACTATTGTCGATTGTGAGGCCTGATTGGTCCCCTCAGCCACAGGATAGGTCAGGGGTCAGGCGCAGGGCATTATGGGAGGTGTAGTATTTGGTTCAGTAGTGGCTGTGTGTGTCCTCTTCCCTCTCCCTGTGTGCCTCTCCTCTATGTCTCCTGTGGTTCCTGCGCTCCCGGCGCTGGCCGTGGTGGTGGTTGCGGCGGTACCGGTGGGATCGCTGAGCTAAGGTAGGGGAACACAAAATTGGTGCAGTGACAACATTTACCATTCTGTTTCTTATAGAGCCCATATTAGAGTGAATAAACAGATGTTAAATGGCTTACCTGGGTGAATAAATGTTTGTTATCCAAAAAAGGTTGCATAACATAACAAATGTGGATTTTTTTATAACAAAATCTGGTGTTTGTCACTCACACTTTGTGCAGATGATCTTGGGCCGGTCCCAGGTGCCGTCGGCCCGGCAACGCGAGGTGGGGATGTGGCGCTGGTAGAAACCTTCGGCACACTGGTAACGCACAACCGCATGTATGTCATAGTGGGACCGCCGACGGCCAATCAGATGGGTGTTCTCCATGGCGGGTGGGGTTCCACACAGCACTGTCAGACGGGCCGACAATAACAATAAAGTCAGTCTCGAGCAACAAAGTCTCTGTCTCTCTCTCTCTCTCTCTCTCTCTCTCTCTCTCTATTTCTATTAAAGGAGCTAGGCTTCAGGCTATCCCATAAATCCTTGCTCTAGGTCTCATTCCACAGTGTCAAAATTACATCAGGGTAACAAAGAGATGCATTTTGGGATTTCAGGAGCAGATCTGAAGGCAAAACAGTCACTGGCAATTTAATGCCAGCTTTATACAAGATGGCAAATGGTGGCTTTGTAGCCCAAGTAATTATTCGTAGGGTGAGATAAAATGCGAACAGAGAGAGAAGGAGGTTTCTGTTAAGATCAACTGGGAGTAAAAAAAAAGAAAATGCGATTCAGACTTCTGTGTGTTATGTCAGCAAGTTTGGAGCTTTATACACAAGCTTCTTTTCACACATTTAGGCCTAGATTAAATCAGTTAAACCGTTAACTGGTGATAGCAGACATCTGCATATCGGATGTTTTGGCGGTGTCGGAGGTGGAACTGCGTTGGAGCCGTCAAATCAGTGAGCAGCTGCCCTTGTGGTCATTGTCACGAAGCCACACCCGCCCCACTCCAGTTAGAAGTTCAGAACAAGAGAGTGTAGGCTACAAATAAATAATTATGCTCAAATTGAAAAATCATTCAATGAAATAATGAGGAATTTCTATCATCCTAATTGAGGTGTAGATTACATCTCACATTCCAGTGTTCTAACTTGTAAAGAAGGCTGCATGGGATTGACTCCGTGCAGCCAATGGCAATGTCCACTTTAGGTATAATGTCAGGAGCCGCTTGTGGATTTTACAGCTCTAACACAGTTCCACCTCCAACACCGCCAAAAATAACCGCTATATTGATGTTGGCTAAAGCGGATATGATTGAATCAAGCCCTTAACGGAAAAAGACAGCATTGTGCACCACCACCGCTTGTCACACTGCTGCCTATTGAGGTTTGACAGCCTGCATATTAATTGGGTTGTTTCTAGGGGAATTTCAGTGCTTTAGAAATAGCACTCTCTTCTGTCTGTCGATAAGGCAAAAAAACTGATGTATGACAATGTGTCTGGTGCTAGTCAATAATAACCTGTTGAACTAAATAATAAATTGACACGTTTTACCAAAAGGCCATATTTCTTCTGGCATTTTCAGTTGATAAAACTGTCCTTGTGCTCCTTATACTCAGGGCTGATGTCATGTCAGTGCGTTTCATTGCCACTGACATTCTATTGACAAAACAGAACAGTCACCAGAGGATACAAGGCTTTGTAGAGTAAATTGAAGGTTTTGGAACATAATATGAAACAGTATTTCCAAAATCGTTATTTGCCATGATGACTCAACTAAAGCCTTTTGAATGTTCTTGTGCTCTTTCAAATGAACATAACATCCTGTTTCTAGCCACAGCCCAGTCTAATGCCGCTATCCAGTAGGAACCCACCGTTTTGAAAACACTTTTTGAGGACGTTATTGCCATGTAAATGCATCATTGTTGTTTTCCCTGTGCCTTTCTTGTAGACATGGAGCTAGTTGTACAGGTGCTATGTTAGGTACTGTGATCCTACCTGTGCCTTTTTTGCAGATGTAGGGCAGGTTATAGTTGCAGGGCACATCGTTCCACTTGCCGTCCTCATGGGCGATGGTCACCACACAATCCTCTCCGCCCGCAAAGAAGTTATCAGGCTGGCTCTCTCTCCAGTTCTCATATACCTACACAATACAACACAATTATGTTACATTGTAATCATATTCTATTATACTGTAGTCATGCTAAATTGGCCTTAAACCTGTTACTAATAATAATCACCCAGTTATACGTACATCTGTAGATATACTTTACACACATTATTCCAACTGTGAGGATCAAGTACAGGTATAAATCACATACTGTATATTCACCAACTGAGCATAATTTGACATTTTATTGACAGAGAGGAATATCGAATCTAACCAGGTCATTGACATCAGTCCATTGGAAGTCCTCCTCCACGGTGCGATCATTCAGGCCAATCCAGGCGTTATCATGGCCCAGACCGTTGATGAACTCCTGCTCTGTGACTGAGATGATACTACTCAGGTGGGCGCTGTGCTCTCTGCAGTCCTTCTCTGCTTCCTCCCAGGTGTGTCTGTGAGAGAAGTACCTGAAGTGGAGAAACAGGTAGATGTCATATCAATAGAATAACATACAAGGAGATATTATACAAGGAGATATTGTGTTATTGTTATTATTATTTTGTACTTTTATATTTTACTGCACTGATGACAGGTAGCACGCAAGTAAGCATTTCATTGCACTGTTTACACCCCGTTGTATCCTGTGTATATGACAAATAAACGTTGATTTGATTTTGAGATTCATGTTTAGAGGCAAGGTTTGTAGAAAGGTCTTCTTTTCTCACGTACCTGTAGCAGTGGCCATGGAACTTTCTCCATCCATGGTCACAACCCTCAACATCTAAGAGTAGAGGGAGAAAGGAGAGAGGGGGAGGCATGGAGGGAGGAGAGAGGGACAGGCGAGAGAGGTAAGAGTATGGAAGATGGGAGGGGGCAAAGAAAGACAGATAAAGGAGGCAATGAAGAGAGAAGGGGATTGAGTGAAAAAGGTAGGGGAGGGAAAGAGATAAAGGAGAGTAGGAAGATAGATGAATAGAGGGACGGTGACAGAGAAAAGAAGAGAGAGAGGTGGATCAAAAAGAGAGAAGATTATTCTTATACCCTTTCCACCTTTCATCCAGTATTGTGCCTCTCAGGACCTGCAAGGACACACATCAATGGTGTTAAAACCCTGTGAGACTGAATGAAACACTAAACCTGCAATCATGGATCCCGCATTTCCATTCTCAGCACACATTGTTCCTTTCTCTGCATGGTGAGGACTCATTATTGTGCATTATGGGGACTCATTAATAACTCTAAGGGTTATGGATTCATTAATCCTCATTGCTATTAGTGTTTCTGCTCACACGGGGGAGGACAAATGAGGAGTGGTAGGCGGCTGTCTGACTCTGAAACCAGCGAGGTGCGTGTGTGTGTGTATGCACTTGTTTGTGTGTATGTTTTGGTGTACATATATCAGCCAGCTCTCTGCAGCACAGTGACAGGTACATATACACTGCCTGATAGCTGGTGAGTGATACTGCAGGGATACAGCTGTAAGCTGATACTGCACATAACACTGATCAAGATGACCTGGACCACAGCCGGCTGCTACCACTGCTGATAGCAGACAGGCAACATCATCCTGAACCCTGTAGATACTGTATCTAGGTATTTACTGTCGACACGTTTATAGAGCTACACATATAGAAGTAGCAAAAACAAAACATCACAAATTGAGATATTATTTTCCATAAGGGACTAGCTTCATGGGGAAATGTGAGACTTGAGTGAAAGCTCAATTAAAGCATTCTCCTGTATAATTTGGAGAAGTGTAAATACCACTCCTCTGTGTATTTTAGATAAACGTTTTCTCTCTCTCTCTCTCTCTCTCTCTCTCTCTCTCTCTCTCTCTCTCTCTCTCTCTCTCTCTCTCTCTCTCTCTCTCTCTCTCTCTCTCTCTCTCTCGCCATCTCTTTCTCTCGCTCTCTCCTCTCTCTCCATCTCTCTCTCTCTGTTTAGGCTGTGTGTATTGACTACGTAGTGTGTGTGTTTCCATGCTCTCGCCGTGTGTTGACCAGTGTGTGTGCACTCGCTTACCCTTCTCACAGGTGTCTCCTGCGTAGCTGGGCAGACAGAGGCAGACAAATGAGTCGATCTTGTCGATGCAGGTGCCTCCATTTAGACATGGATTGGACTGGCAGTCATCCACGTCTGTCAGAAAAAACACACACAACACAGGTTGGAGAGCCCTAGAGTAACCATCCACTTTAGACTAGTTCACTCAAGTTCACTGGCTATGCGCACAGACCTTGCACAAATACTTATTCCGGAAAGAATTCCAGCTAAGTGTGGTCTAAAGTTAGGATTTGGGATAGAGTAAAGAGCTAATATGTCCACAGCTCTGACATTCTCCCAAAGGTCATTCATTGGTGTGACACACAGGAAAGATTTTTCCTACGTTTTCTATGTCCATCAACTGAAGCAGTGGGCTGTGGTTGCTGTGGGTACAACACTAACTAAATTCATATCACCAGGAAACTGTATCCAAAACCAATTTGAAGACCATTCCTGAATTTGTCTTTAGCCTAGCGGTTAAGAGCGTTGGGCCAGTAAGGTCAAAAGGTCGCTGGAATAAATCCCAGAGATAAGGCATCCCCCCGCACCTCTCTGATTCAGAGGGGTTGGGTTAAATGTGGAAGACGCATTTCGGTTGAATGCATTCAGTTGTGCAACTGAATGCATTTCACCCTTCACTTTCTAACACTTGCACTTATTTTCTTACTAGCACTGACTGCTGATAGCTGCTTTATTGAGGAAAAGTTTGAATTACTATGACTGTGATACTGTATGTGGTCGTCTTACCTAGCTACCTTAAGATGAATGCACTGACTGTAAGTGGCTCTGGATAAGAGCATCTGCAAAATTACTAAAATGTAAAGGTAAATGTTTTGTAAGGGAGGAGGATAATTTAATTCTCACCATGGCAACTCAAGATTACTGTGGATGTTTGTGTTTTCCTCTTCTTTGTCCCTCTCCTTCATGAATCAGGGCGCTCTGAGAGTACTTCAGAGCCAATTAACTTATTTCATTATTCCTGTGCGAAGCTCAAGGTAGCGAAAGCTCTCTCTCTCTCTCTCTCTCTCTCTCTCTCTCTCTCTCTCTCTCTCTCTCTCTCTCTCTCTCTCTCTCTCTCTCTCTCTCTCTCTCTCTCTCTCTCTCTCTCTCTCTCTCTTCTCTCTCTCTCTCTCTCTCTCTCATTCAATTCAAAGGGCTTTATTGGCATGTTTACACTGCCAAAGCAAGTGAAATAGATAATAAACAAAAGTGAAATAAATAATCAAAAATGAACAGTAAACATTACACTCACAAAAGTTTCAAAGGAACAGAGACATTTCAAATGTCATATTATGGCTATGTACAGTGTTATAACGATGTGTACAAAGTACCTTGATGACAGCTTTGCCAAGAGTGTGCAAAGCTGTCATCAAGGCAAAGGGTGGCTATTTGAAGAATCTCAAATATAAAATATATTTTGGTTTGTTTAACACTTTTTTGGTTACTACATGATTCCATATGTGTTATTTCATAGGTTTGATGTCTTCACTATTATTAGAAAATAGTTAAAATAAAGAAAAACCCTTGAATGAGTAGGTGTTCTAAAACGTTTGACCGGTGGTGTATGTGAAAGTAATGAAGATATTTTAAATAGTATTTGAACCCAGGTCTGCTCTCTCTCACTCTCTCTTGTCCCTGTTTCGCTCCAAGAGGGCTTCCTATGACCCCTCAAATCTCTTCACATCGCACACAAACACAACAACAGAGATATTTTGTTCACATTCACAAGAACAACTTCTGTATTCTCCTGAGGGCTGAGCTTTCTTGAAGAAAAAAAAGACATTTAATTGTATTTATTACATTTATTTGACAAGGACAATTCTGCTTCTTTATGTTACTGCACCAGATGTCGATGGTGTGGTCCTGTGTGGCTCAGCTGGTAAAGCATGGCATTTGCAACGCCAGGGTTGTGGGTTCAATTCCCATGGGGGACCAGTACGAACAAATATGAAAATGTATGCACTCACTACTATAAGTTGCTTTGGATAAGAGCGTCTGCTAAATGACGAAAATGTAAAAAGGGAGGTTGTCTGACAATACGACGATTTCAGAAAATGAGAATACTGACCCACAATTTAAAACTTTTCCCTGTAAATCTATAGTATTATGCTGGAAGCAGAGTTGCCAGCTAAATACAGTAATTTTGCTTTACAGCAGGCATGCTGGTTTAATAGTGCATTACTGTAAAGAAAGCACATCTTTACAGTAATTTAACAAATTATGTTTTTTACACATACAGTACTTCTAATAATGTATTGTTAAACCAACATTGAATTGGAATTTACAGTATAATTTACCAGTTACACCTAAAATCACCCAGAGTCCATTGCAATGTACGGCAATTTACTGTAAATAATTAATATGGTACATTGCTGTTAGTTTTATTGTATAATACTGTAAAACCAACAAAAATTAACAGTAAAAGAAAAATATGCTATAGAAAGGAAAAATTACTTTGCGCCAGTAATAAGGGTCAATTTGGGCTAGAAACAAGCTGTTTTCCCTTTAGTAATGTTGCAAACATATCAAATCTGCTCTCAGTTTATTCAATATAGCACCCAGAAGCTTCAGTAAAGCGAAGCCTAATCATTGCAAAAAGAAAAAAGTGGGGTGATTTAATTCTTTAAAAAAAAGAAAAAAATAGTCTTAGCTCCATCCGTCTCACCCGAAAGAATGAGATTGGCTCCTGAAACGTACAATTTGAATCTACAGTAGGCATAAGCTATTATTGTAAAGAAATACAGTATGTTAGAATAATTTTTACAGGAAGCTTCCAATTACAGTTAATAACAGTATATTTCAGCATTTTACCCATAATTCAGTGCAATCTACAGCATTCATTCTGTAAAACACAGTTATGGGATTTTACTGTGTATTCTACAGTGTTTTACTGTTGAATGCTGTTCACAAGCATTTCGCTACACCCGCAATAACATCTGCTAAACACGTGTATGTGACCAATACAATTTGATTTGATTTGAAATTGCCGAAAGGTCTTAAAGTGCAAGTCTGACTCATAATACCGTCTTCTTTTCTCAATTATGAATAACTCCAAACGCACTTTCTACTACTGTATAATGGCTCAACCTAGAACATTAATTTCAATCCTTTAATTCAAGGTTGAAAGGCACCAAACTGTGCTGTCAATGTCACTTCAAACTAAACTATACGCTATGTTCTGAGAGTTGATAAGGGCTTGAAAACTAAGACTAAAAAAGCCCTCGGAAGAATGTTGCAGAAAGGTTGTCAGACAAATCAAATCCAGACTGTCTAGACCTTCTGATGGGACCTTTGTACCATCAACCCCCAGTTCTGTATGTCTGGACAAACATAGCACATGGGCTTTGAATTCCACTGACAGGTTCTAGGCTACATCAAATAGAAATGAAATGTAAAGAAGTGACATCAGTCAAAGTCACTACACTCTTAGAAAAAAGGGTTCCCAAAGGGTTCTTCAGCTGTCCCCATAGGATAACCCTTTTGGTTCCTAGTAAAATCATTTTTTGGTTGCAGGTAGAACCCTCTGTGGAAATGGGTTCTACATGGAATCAAATCAGTTATACTTGGAACCAAAAGGGTTCTACCTAGAGCCAAAAAGGGTTATTCAAAGGGTTCTCCTATGGGGACAGCTGAAGAACCCTTTTAGGTTCTTGATAGCATCTTTTTTTCTAAGAGTGTAGTATCACCTGAAAGCTGTTTTGCAGTGCTCAGTTACTTCCATGACTGTTCTAGGGGTGCATCTCAATAGTCTAAAGTGGCTTCTGCTCTTCGTCACTTCTCCTTCATCAGAACTTCAATTCCATAGGCATCACTGTCTTTGGAGTCAGTGTCACTGTCTTTTGTCTCTGGTGATCACTTCACCCCAGCATGACCTTGAACATCTCTTCACCCCGTAACATTTCTCTCACCTCTTTGAGTCCAAGTCAACATTTGCCAACATATCAACCCACATGCATACACACACCTTGTCTCGAAACACACAATGCTTTTGTTCCATATGAATGTTTAATCCTGTCATGCATAATGCAGAGGAGTTAGGGAGAGATCTCCTGAGAGAGATAATACCGCAAATACTGCTGCACACACACGCACACGCATGCACACACGCACGCACGCACACACACACACACACACAGGCCTGCCTTGGCATCATGCTCTAAGCCCATTCTCTGTCTCACAGCTCTAGAAGCCAGCAGTACCCAGTTGTATAAAATTGAGCACACCGCCATGCAATCTCCATAGACAAACATTGGCAGTAGAATGGCCTTACTGAAGAGCTCAGTGACTTTCAACGAGGCACCGTCATAGGATGCCACCTTTCCAACAAGTCAGTTCATCAAATTTCTGCCCTGCTAGAGCTGCCCGGTCAACTGTAAGTGCTGTTGTGAAGTGGAAACGTCTAGGAGCAACAACGGCTCAGCCGCAAAGTGGTAGGCCACACTAGCTCACAGAAGCACGCAGCACGTAAAAATTATCTGTCCTCGGTTGCAACACTCACTACCAAGTTCCAAACTGCCTCTGGAAGCAACGTCAGCACAATAACTGTTTTTCGGGAGCTTCATGAAATTGGGTTTCTATGGCCGAGCAGCCACACACAAGCCTAAGATCAACTTGCGCAATGCCAATCGTCAGCTGGAGTGGTGTAAAGCTCGCCGCCATCAGTGGAAATGCGTTCTCTGGAGTTATGAATCACACTTCACCATCTGGCAGTCCGACGGACGAATTTGGGTTTGGCGGATGCCAGGAGAACGCTAGCTGCTCGAAAGCATAGTGCCAACTGTCGAGGAGGAATAATGGTCTGGGGCTGTTTTTCATGGTTCGGGCTAGGCCCCTTAGTTCCAGTGAAGGAAACTCCATATTAATGTCCATGATTTTGGAATGAGATGTTCGACAAGCAGGTGTCCACATACTTTTGGTCATGTAGTGTACCTCCTCACCACAGCAGACAGGTAAATACAATGAATGTCTGGCACTGTCTCGTCTCACAGGTATTTACATTTACATTTTAGTCATTTAGCAGACACTCTTATCCAGAGCAATTAGGGTTAAGTGACTTGCTCAAGGGCACATCGACAGAGCCTTGTTGGCTGGGGG